TATATATACCCGTAACAACGTCCAATTCAAGAACATTAGATATCTGAGGTCCAAATCGAAAGGTTCGACCATTGATGCCAGCATTAGAGAGCGTGCCTCCAACCGACAAATACAAGTAGTTAGTGAAAGACAGAGGAGTGAGTCCATGTTTAAGGGTTGCATTCAACACATTAATCCACATTTGTTCACCACCTACATCAGCATAACAATAACCCAATGGAAAACAAGACACTAAAATCCCTGACCCATGTTTGAAATTGCTGAGGTGTGTCATATTCAGCACCACCCCATCTCGCGTCATGGCTTGTCCAAGAACCGAGTGGCCTTGGCCTCTAGTGGCTATGGTGAAAGGAGTGGGAAGAGAGTTTGAGAAATTTATCAAGCTCGAGATATCACCAACGGAACATGGCTCAAAAACTGCCCATGGGGTCTTGTGAACTACGTGTCCATAATCGGTTGAAGCTAGTAAAAGGGCTTGAGGGTTACGAGTAAACTTTGGAGCAAGGTCTTTGGGTGGGTGGAATGCTGACAACCATCGTTGATGTGATTGTGCTGGTGTGAGCAATATGCTCGATAGCCATAGTATGATCGTAACTTTTGAAAACACTATGTTGCTCAACATTTTTCTTGGGAGGGACAAAAGATGAGTTGATTTTGGTAGTGTGGGATAACATCCAATTGGTTAGTGCATATTTATAGACTAATGAAAAGAACATGAAGAAGAAATTTTAGTAGTTAAGAAATGTAAGGATAAATCAACACTCTTCCTTTTTAAATATCTCATTTTTTTAAATAATTTATTAATAATTATATTCTGTTTCTCTTCTTAATCATCATGACACACGATTATTTTAATGAAAGAATTTGAACTGTCTATATTTTATTATTTTCAGATGTATCATGTTTTGTTTAAAAAATTTCCTGGCATATTCACGTTTCCATTTTTTTTTAATCAGCAAACACAAAATATATTAAATAGAAGTATAAAATGTACCTAAATCAAAACACATAATACGTATTCATATATAGCTTTTAAGTGGTACATTGGATTTGTTAACCGTTCATAAAAGGAAAATGAAAATACTTTCATCACCTTAGCACTTAGTCACGATCTAAGATCTGAAATCTATTTAGTGTAGCACATTCACAATACCCACAAACTCGTTTTTCAATACATATATACATATATATTTCGGTTAAAAAATATATTCCCAACAAGAGTCATGTTTTAGTTAAAAAAATTCCCCACATTTTATTATACTCGTATGGTTGGTAAATTTTATTATAATTTAAAATTGAATTATATATTTTATTTAATTAATTTTTTGTTACAATAATATTTTATTACTTATTTATTTCACATTTTAAAATCAGTTAAAGTTTTGATATATTTTAATGAAGTCTTATTCTTTTGTTACTGTTGATGCACATTAGAGTGGGTGTCTGCACGCTTAGAGAATAAAAAAATAACACACAACATATAGATAAATACGATAAGTTATCTCTTTTTATTTTTATCAAATATCTTTTGATATTATTATTAAAATGTTTGTGTTTTTTAGTAGTGTATTTTGGTTTGGAGATCCTTCACTGCATAAAATTGATCTAATAGGTTATTATATTTTAGGAGATAGTCACATTACAAATTAATCTACTAGTACATTAAGACATTTTTTTCTCTCTAAAGATATAGCTTAGCATACTTCAACCAAAGCTTATCTAAACCACAAATATTAAACTAACCAAAGGTTAAACATGGGTTGGGAAGTTTTTAAAGGAGTTATGTTAGTTTTATGTTTTACACTTCTCACTATTGGGAATTGAAGAACAAGGAAAGGAGAACACAAAAGCAACGAGAGTAGATCTTCATCCTTCAGCAAGTACTCACGAAGGTAAGGGAGAGTGAGAGTTTTCTTTTTTCAGAGTTAATTAATGTGTTGGGTTAGGGAATTACAATTAATCCCTTTTTGTCCGCATATATAATTCTTTGGAAAATTCATGGTTTTGATTTGTAAAATGAGAATTTGTGTTTGGTATGATTTGTTTGGGCATTGTAACTAATCTTTGTATTGAATATGAAATGAATTGTATTGATTTTGATTATTTGTGAATTTATAAGTGCCCATAGGAACCTTGAATTATAGAAGAGGGTAAATATTAATAAAACTAATGATGAATTGTGAAAGTGATGTATACGTTTAGTTAAATGATGCATAGAAGTATATTTTGAGTGATAATTGTGCCTATTACCTATTAAATTGAGAGAATTGATTTGGGTGCACTACAAGAAAACAGTGAATAAGCGGCGGAAAATAAACATCAGTTAATAGTTGATGCAAATAGTGTCAGAAAAGCTGACGTTATTTTAAGATGTAGTGTTGACTTTTTTGATACTAAATTTAAATTAAGTTTAGTGTTGAAAAAGCCGACGCTATTCTTTAAATATAGCGTCGGCTTTTCCGATTAAATTAAATTAGTGTCGAAAAAGCCGACGCTATATTTAAAGAATAGCATCGACTTATTCAACTTAATTTAAATTAGTGTTGAAAAAGCCGACGCTATATTTAAAGAATATTGTCGGTTTTTTCGATGCTAAACTTAAAATATTTAATTTAAATTTATTTTAAGTTTAGCGTCGGAAAAGCTAACGCTATTCTTTAAATATAGCGTCAGCTTTTTTGACACTAATTTAATTTAAATTTAAATTAAATTTAAATTAAATTAGTGTCGGAAAAGCCGACGCTATATTTAAAGAATAGCGTCAGCTTTCCCGACACTAAACTTAATTTAAATTTAGTGTCGAAAAAGCCGACGCTACATCTTAAAATAGCGTCGGCTTTTCCGACAGTATACATGTTTTGAGAGAGATAAAAATAATTTTTTCAATGTTATATGCGCATAATGTGTTGTGGTACACTTGGTTATCAAGTTCACTTAAGACCTTAAAGTTCACGGATCGAGTCCCGGGAATGTTAAAAATACGAACGAATAAATCATAAGCTGAAAAAAGAAGATAAAGAAAAAAATAAAATAAATTTTGTGTCAACATAGTGTTGGCTTAACCGACAATAAAAATTAAAATAAATAAATTTGTTAGTGATAGCTTAGCCGACACAAAAAAAATTGTGTCAACTTATTTAGCGTCAGCCAAAAACCAACAAATAACCGAGAATATTACGTCGATTTTTATGATTTGGAGTTGGCTTTTGGCCGACTCTAAATCGAAACATTCTTGTAGTGGTGTGAGTTGTGCGACTTTTGCACTTTGTTGTAGCGAATTTTTCCCCAATGCAACAAATGGAACGCTTGTGCACCTACTTGCACGCCTGTGTGCAAGTGTCTTAAATGATTGAATTAGCTTTTGATGTGTTCATAAGAGTTATAGCCTTGAGTTTTATCTTTCTAATGACATTGGAATCACTTGAAAAGTATGTCTAGTACTCAAGTTATAATCAAATTAGAAAGTAGAGTTTAAGCTATTAGTTTTAAACTAAAACACTACAATTTTGTAGATTTTTAAAATAGGATATGGTAGAATCAACTTATGAGATCAACATAAGAGTTTTAGATAATTGTATCATCTTTCTATAAATATTAACATCAAACTTATATCATAAGTATAACTTCAAATATCATGTTGATACGCACAATGTCATAAGAGTTTGAGATAAGATCAAGACAGATTGAGAGTTGTAATGGTGAATTGTTTTACCTTTAAAACATTTAGTCTTTGATTTTTTTTCGAGAAACTTAATTATATCAATTGTTAGTAAAAAGAAAGAATGGGAGGTAATATTTGTGAATAAATTATGATGAAGATACAAAACTATGTTTGAGAGACCTTGTGCGTGATGTTTTGTGTTTGTATGCAATGTGAGATGTTTTTATATAATGTGGCACCCTCTACCATGCATAACATAAATACTAGAATAAATAAAATTGTATAGAAAAGTCTTTCCTAAATAAGATCCAATGTATTTAACATAGAAGGTTTCACATTTCTAACAACACAAAACCAGCTAAACCCCAAATGAAATTTAATCCAAGAAAACTAACAATTGTCTCAAAACATGACAAAAGAAGATAACCCTTAACTAAGTCCCGATGTCACATTTCATTAGAGCTTAACCTTTCTATTAGGACTAAGACTCATCACCAACATCCTCAACATTATGTTGAAGATCACCTACAACAACATACAAGAAGAATAACACAAAATATCTAGCTTATGGTGTATCAATCATATAACATATTTCATTCATTCACACTGTAACAACTAAATATCACATACCATTAAGATGCATTATGTAATGGACACCGAGTACATGTTACCATGCATGTGGCGCCAGTAAAAATATTACACATTATTACACTTGTGCATTGTCGCTAGCAATAAAAGTAGAGTATCCTAGGAGTGCATGTCGGGTCACACCCTCAACGCATTATCACTAGGAAGACATACTTCCAGGGTCTAGTTAGGAAAATTGAGTCGTGCAAGATACATCCCATGCACACAAAGGACAAGACTAAGACTTTCAAACCAAGCTATCCCTAAAGACTGATCCCCAAGTTATTAAATAGTAGGGCCTTTCTTGATGGTGTATTCCATATCATACCCTTAAAACACTTTTATGCATGTGATGCATATTAAACAAACTCCATGCATAACATTTCACATGATCTCATTAATTCACACATTACATGTCTTATCATATCATATCCCAATTATGCCTCACATAAACTTCCACTACTAGAAAGTCACTGTTCAACATCGTCAATTCTACATTGGTTTAGGTAAAAACGATGTAAAAATCGAATGCGGTGGCATTTTTGTAAATAAGAGTATAATGTAAAGCATATTTACATCGATTATGACTGAAACCGATGTAAATATTGAGCGTTTTACATCATTTTTGGTGGGACCGATGTCATTTTGAATGCACGATGGCAATTTTGGGAATAATTACAAATAAATCTACATCGGTTCACCACTTAGCCGATGTAGTATTGAGACACGTTGGAGCCCTTTCTCCACGAAGAACATTCTGTTCATCTTGTTCAATAAAGAAAGTGTGCGCGACCTAGCATTTTGGTGAAGCCTCCGCTGCACACACTCGTAATGGCACCGAAACCCTAACCGATAACTCCAGCTCCAACGAGCCGCCGCCGCACTCGAACGATGCCGTTCTCGAGGACCTCCTCAACCTGCCCTACTTCAAGTCAATCTTCGACCTCAAGAGCGACTTCACCTCCATGATGCTCACCCAGACGCACGAGCGCGGCTGCTGCTTGACCTACGACTACGACACTAACGACGCCACCAATATTCTTGGCGAGAAGGACCTCGATTCGATCTCCGCCTTGCGCGCCCTTCTCGTTTCGCACCCCACCGATTCCAACTTCTCGCATAAGATTTGTTGGGTTTTGCTTTGTGTTTCGTTGTTGTTTGTTAACTTGTTATTGATGTTTTCTTTTTTTGGTTTCTATCTTTATTAGAAACAGTTTTTTGCCCTCCAAAAAAAAGTTTCATGCCCTATAGATGTGAATTCTACTTAAGAAAATAGATAAAAAAGAATTAGATGTTTTTTGATTTTGAATTAAATTTTGTTTAGATTAGTGTTTAATGATGCTGTGCAGAGATGTTTTGCATTTTTTTCATGAGTGTCTGG